TAAAAAACACCACGCCCGGAGAAGACGGAATTTAGACCGTTATATTGAAAAACGCACCTGAAATATTGATTCTACACTTAACAGCTCTGTTCAACCTTTCCCTTAGTTCTGGGTATCATCCCTCTCAATGGAAATCAGCCGCACTAAAAATTTTGTCAAAAACCAACCCAGCCACCAAAGATCCTAAAAAACTACAGACCAATAAACTTACTCAATAGTATTGGCTAACTCTAAGAGAAAATAATAACTACTCGCTTATTGTGGTATTAGAGAAAAATATTGATTTGTCAGAAATACAGAACGCTTCACGTAAAAACAGACAGACAGTAGTCTACTTAGTCAGGTCAATAGAAATAAGAATTCAGGGTCTCAACAAAAATCACACAACTGTAGGATTATTTCTAGATGTTACGCAGGTATTCGACTCAATATGGCACTAAGGCCGAAGATGTAAACTACTTCAATTCAATTTCCACCACTAATAACCAGATGAATTTCTAGCTTTCTATCAAACAGAACAGCTAGGGTTAATAACATTATCAGTTGGTGTACCGCAAGGGTTTGTACTAAGTCCCCTCTTATATCTTCTGTTTGTAAACGATATACTCTTCTAAGAATTATTGTATCCCAAAATGTTGACGACATCGCCGTCTGAAGCACGTGTCGAGAGCCCCGACTGGCGGCATCAAACCTTGCTCAATAATATAACAAATTAGTGTAATATGTGTCGAGTTGTGCCTAACGCTACCAAACTCAAGGAATACTATTCTACAGACAAATATTACACAAAAGAAAATTACCCACAAATCAAAATAAACAATGCACGATACGAAACTAAAATTCTCAAGAACAACTAAATTCCTGGTACGATCATTTTGAAATAATATTAACCAAAGTTTACAAAAGAATCATTTACTTAAGAAAGATAGGTGGAATAATGAAAGGATGCTGAGCAAAAACAATAATGTCCATAAATAAAGCATTCATACCCCCTATAATAGAATACGTTCACATGATTACAGTCAACATGTCACACATCCAGTATAGTTGCATTCAACGTGCACAAAACCAAGCAATTAGAATAGCTTTTCGGCTCCCGCAGTGCACTCCACCGGAATACCTTGAGAAAATAAGCAAAACAACGAACATCAGTGAAGGAATGACAACAGTTGCGAATAAATACTTCAAAAAATCAATCAACTGCACTGAATTAACGAAGTAATTTCCATTATTAGCTGCCACCCCCGAAACTTGGCAACGATACATCTCACCTCTAAACACGATACACACTCTGAATAATAATGATTAACCATATACGTCCTGATCTTTTTTACAGCTTCGGGCACTGATGGGATAGAATATTCGGCACCCTGTCAGTGAAACTGGGTTTTCTCGTGGTACTCCCATTTCCCCCACATCAAAATTCGCTCAGAGCATCGGATCTATAGATCCCCGCTCCCCTAAAAAGGGCCGTTTACTTAATAAAGACCAACAGTCTTTAAAATTAATCTATTTAACGATTATTCAATGAAAGAATAAACTAACAAGATGAACTCGAGAAATAAAAACTTCATATCTTACAAAAATTACCTAAAGCTAGAAACAGATATTATTATGTTTTATCGGAACTTGTGTTTGCTCCGATCTCTCGTCTTCATCTCAACGACTCATCGACAAGTTTCACCGACTTCCGCGTTACAAGACATCCTCAACTCAAGCGCTACATCATCTCCATGCTACTCTTGAATCTTGTTAGCAGCTCGTGACTGGTAATTCGCTGCATTTCCGGACAGCTTGAGGCAATAAGTTGCGTGAAAATTATTTAATCTCCAAAAGTCAAGAACATCAATACATTTCTTGTTAAAATCCCTTTCAACTGATCACGAAGTGGGGTGAAGAGAAGCAGAACTTTCTGATCGCCCCTGGTTATCTTTCAGACCCGTTAGGGGTCTGAAAGATACTTAACCAAAATAACCACCACGGATCGAATTGGATTCCTTAAAAACGTCCTCTCGTCAACCAACTCACTTTAGATCAACAACAAGAATGTTTATTGCAATTTATTCCAAAATATCTAAATACAATAATTCTTACTTACCGTGAAACGTCACATTCATAGCCATAGTCATTCTCATTCATACATTATCATCATAAAGTGCCATGCTTTGTATCGTAGGCGATCATGTCCCTTCACTTTTCCCGGTCCCAGACACTTGTGATTACATCAGTCACCCTCTCTTTGTGTAACCAAATTGTTAAACTGCCCAGGATCTTCTCTCGCTGTCTACCTCTACTTATTTTCCCCCACAAATTTCCCAGTTGTTACCAAGTGTTCCATCCCCTTTCTCTTCATCACATGACCAAAAGAATGCTGCTTGTCTTTTTCGTACTTTTGTTATAAATATTCACTTTGTTTTTGCTTGTTGTAGAACATCTTCATTTGTTTTCCGGTCTTTGTAGAAAACCCTAAGCGTTCTACTCAGGAACCATATTTCGGTCGCATTAAGTGATTTTTTCATTTGTTTGTTTATTGTCCATTATTCGCAACCGTACATCAAGACAGGTTCGATGTAGAAGTTAAAAATTCTTTTGCGCACTTTCATTGATTAACCTTTGTTAGTCAATATATTTTTCATCATCATAAATGTTGTTTTAGCCTATGTAATTCTGCTCTTGACCTCATTTTGACATCTGCCATATGATATAATCCATGCCCCTAAGTATTTAAACTTGTAGATTTGATTGAGAAGGGTCCCATTTAACAGGTTCGCTGCCGCATAATAAATTAAATATAAATAAAAGTAAACATTCAAGAGTTGACAAGGAGCAGTCACAATGTCCCAAACTCATATGCCACAAGAAAAATTTGGCTTTGAAATATAATTGTCTGTGACCCACCAGTGTGTCACGCGGTCCATAACTAAAGGTCGTGTTGTAACCCACCAGTGGGGCATGTGGCAGCGAACGTGTTAATGATAAAGTGCATTTTGGACTGGTTTCTTTCTTTGATATAACCATGGTTTCTGTTTTCTTGATGTTTAGGCTGAGTCCCATATTTCCGCCTTCTTTATTTACAATGTGAAGTAAGGACTGAATATCTTTTTCCATTCCTGCTATTAACATTGTATCATCAGTATATCTCCTATTGTTTACATTGTTGCCTCCAATACTTATGGTTGGCACGTCTTCTATCTCTTTCATAATCATTTCACCATTCATAAATAGGGAGGCCAGAACCTCCAGATGTCATCTGGCTTACTACTGGAGGTAGAAAAGGCATTGTATTGTTCGTGAGGATGACAATATATTTTAGTCATATATGTACATATTTTGACTGTATATCGTATACATACTAATAAAATATCTTAATTTCTAAACAATATTTGTTATTTCTTTGCCACTAACCAATTCAGGGGGGAGGGGTGCGGCCACCCCCTTTTTCATAATTTTGCGCCCTTACGCTCTAAAGTGCGCTCATTTTAACAATAAGTAATTGCAATAAAAGGCATTCTTTCCTGCCTCTCCTAGCTACAGGCCAATAATTTTTAATATTATTGTTACGTCTCTGTTCGTTTGTTAATTTTTCGTAAAAATTATTTCCGAAGAAACTTTAGCGATACAAGTCCTTTCTAAAATAAAACTAGTTTATTTTTTCTCAATACAACTATGCAATACACTTGATTTCCACAGACACGCTATAACTTAAACAAACGCTATAACTCACAACGAACGAACGATTCACGCGCTTGAGTCATTTGTCGTCTCTATCTCTGTCTGCAATTCAATTCATTTGATTCGTCTCACGTTATCCGGTGCATTTATATACGGGAATAGAGGGCGCCTAGCACATACTGGATTATTCGTGATGTTCCCCGATCCTTCGTGAATGTCATGACGTGTTACCAGTGTCACGTGACTACCGCTGTCGTAACATTATATTTAAGTTTAAATATTGTTGCGTCATCGAGATCACGTGACAATTCTCACGCTATCTTGTTTCTAGAACTATCATGTACTTTGGCG